ACAGTGCAGCTGAGTCGTGGCTGCTGGTGGACCAGCTGCACCAGTGCTCACAACCCAGACCGACTGCTGCACGCACACACACACACACACACACACACACGCGCGCAGCAGGAAATACTGCAGCTGCTGCGTGTGTGTGTGTGTGTTATCAGTGGAAGTGTGTTTCTGTCTGATAAGCTGCAAGAGAACAGCTGAGCTTCCTGCAGTGAAACAATGACCGTCCATCTGCAGAAATATTAATAATTTTAATTTAAGTGGAAGAGTGTTACCATGACGACGCAAACGTTTTTCACCCTTTGCATACAAGAAAACAAAAAGACTGATCTCGTTCTTTCTCTCAGCGCTCAGACTCTGGCCGGTCTGGAGTTTGTTCAACAGTGTCTGAAGTTCGACTGGGACGTCCGACTGGTTCTCACCAAGAGAGCCTCCATCAACACGGAGCTGTCTCGCACGGTGCAGACACACACACACACACACACACACACACACACACACACACACACACACACAGGTGAAGAGCTCTGTGCTATAGGTGATGTCACCACCTGCAGACAGTGACATCACCAAACACCAGCCAATAGCAGACAGGCTGGTTTTAATCGCTGGATGTGAGATCTGTTGATTTTTGGTGGAGGACAGAATGTGAATTATTGGGAGAGAAGTGCTGATTATTTTTATTGTCGTTTGGTAACGTTTTGATGACAGAAAGAAGACGATGAGACGATGTCCACCATGAACCACAGCATCCTGCTGCAGGAGCGTCCCATCAAACAGACTGTCACCCGGTGAGGGGCGGGGCTTCTACCCCGCCGAACAGGATGTAGTATTAGTCATCATGATTAGTGGCTCCTGGTGCTGTAATTGGAATTGTTTGATTCAAATTCATCCAAGGAAGTTTTGTATTTTCATCCATTGGTTGATTTGCGTATCTTCTCTCTGTTGTGGGCAGAGAGGCTCTGACTCTTCTGCTGGATACGTTCCATAATGAAGCCGAGTCCTTCCTGCTGTCAGAGGTAACGCGTCTCAAGTAGAACAAGTCCTCTCAAAGACTTTCCAAAATCCAAATTGAATTCTTCTTCTTCTCTCCCGTTTGTGTCCGTAGGCGGAGCTGCCGCTGCACGTGGAGCGCCTCGTCCAATCGGTGAAGGCGCTCTGCAGCTCGTTAGCCGCCGTGGAGACGCCCGACGTGACCGCCGCCCTCAGCCAACTCCCAGCATGCCCCTGTCGTCTGCAGCCCAAAGTCCTCAAGGTGAAAGCCAGACGGACAAAAGGACAGACGGTCCGTGTCGTTCATATATTCACACGTTGTTGTCTTCCGCTTTGTCCTCCCAGGATGCTTCAGTGCTCGCTGTCAGAGAGACAGAGGTACGTCCCAGCGACTATTCACTGAGTGGCAGACTGTCACGCTGCTGTACAATGCTTTCTGAAGGCACCCTGATAGTAGGAGGACACTACACGTTAGGCCACAGGGGGCAGCAGACCGACGATGCGTAGAAAGACTTTTTCCCTGCATCATTTTCTACCATCAAGAACCCTTCATGATTAAACAATGAATGTTTCTTGGTGATGATTCATTAAGAGATTAATAATCATATTTCTGGTGAGAGGTTGGATCCGGTCTCATTGACAGTCACGCCATAAAGTCTGAAGTTGAAATTCCTCGTTTGGCAGACAAAGTGGTGGAGAAGTTGACGGCGGCCATCTTGGATCTGGTGGAGCTCTACTGCAGCACGTTCAACGCCAACTTCCACACGACGGCGCAGAGCCGCTGCTGCACGGCGCCGGTGCAGGAGGCCGGGCTGGTCAACAACGTGCTCTCCTTCAACGTGCACGCCGCCCACCGCATCCCCATCGCCTGGGCCGCCAGGTAAGAAGCAAACACGCGCATGTGACATCTAAAGAGACACGCGCATGTCTCTGCTTCACCTCGCCATGTTTTTTTGAGGAAAAGTGGATAGGAAAGGACACATCGTTTAAAAAAGTGCCATTAAATAAATCTACTTTCACCCAATTTATCGTAGTGTTTTTGACCAACGAACTGCAGCGTTTGACCTTTTGTGACCTTCAACTCTGTTTGGGCAGTGAGCCCAAAGCTTCTGGAACCAGCGCCGGCCTTCATTGTCTTTTTAAAATGACCTCTCTTAATCATGGTGCTGCTTGGTTCCGTTCCTGCGCTGTTGAAGTCATTTTGGGGAAAGATGAGGCTTTATAGAGCGTCATGCTTTGTATAATCCTCAGACATGAGTGTGTCTGAGGATTATACAAAGTAGAACAACTGATGCTTCAGAAACACACAGTGAATGTTTAGTGAATATAATAAACCTGTAGTGTCTTTACGATGCATTTTAATATCTAACGTCTACGAGTTGCAGTCGCTGTCTGAATTCTTCACAGTACATTTGTTTTTTTTGCTGTTTGTGCGAGTCGATCTACACAAAGATAAACACAAACAAAGCGTCAGACGGACCGTCAGCAGCAGCGAGCCGGGCGCACGCACACGCGCACACACACACACACACACTGTGTGTGCCCTGAAACAAAGGCAGTTCAGCTGAGAGCTGCTGCCCCTCCTCCACACACACACACACACACACACACACCCTGCAGGGACAAAGGGCTGACTCCCTGGGAACTGGAGCTGACCTTTGACCTCAGGGAGGAGGCAGGGCTGGCCGACACCTGGCTGTCGCCGTCACACGCCGTGTGTGTGTGTGTGTGTGTGTGTTCAGTGGAGGAATTTAGCAGAGTACTTTTCCTCAAGTATTGTACTTAGTATTTCATGCAGACTTCTACTTCCACTCAGATCCTTTATTGTTAATTCAAAACGTTACAAAATGTACAATTGGCGTTATATTAAGAAAAATGTTTTAGGTGTGTAGAAGTGTAAAGTAGCAGAGTGGAAATACTCGAATGAAGTAAAAGTACCTTTTTAAAATGTATTAATTTGCATTCATTGCTGCATCAACTGCTTTAATAACTTTAGTAATTTTACAATAAAATATAAAATCTTGTCCTTGCAGGAACAAAGTTCTAAGTATATATTTATTTATTCATTGCTCTCTGACGGGAACAGCTACGAAGGGTTCTTCCTGTCCTGCTCGCTGACTCACGGAGGGGCGGAGCTCTGCGCGCCGCAGCACACCAGCAAGCAGGCGGTCAGCAAATACCTGTTCCACCTGGTGGTGTGGGACCAGAGGTACGCAACACACACACGCAGCGTCCAGGAGACGCTACATGGACGGGGACGTCTCCTCCACCAGAGGGTGGAGACGTGAACTACAAATTCTTGCCCACCAAAAAATGCTAAAATTAAAAAAATATTGGCGTGACATCACCGTAGTTACGGAGGAGGAGGTCTGTTTATTCTCTCTGGTTCTTCAGTAGCCGCACTGCATCGTTATTTTAACCCAAATGACAATCTTTTCCTCGACTTGGATTAAAAGTTTTGATGCCGTTTTAATTAGAGACATGTCAATCACAGTAATCATAATTTACTAAATGAACATCATGCTGTTTTGAAGAAGACTTTAAACTAGAGACTGAGACCAGTCTATGGGAGCAGAGGAGTCGCCCCCTGCTGGTCACTACAGAGAAGTAGAGTCATTTCCGCATAGACGTCTATGGGAGCAGAGGAGTCTCCCCCTGCTGGTCACTACAGAGAAGTAGAGTCATTTCCTCATAGACGTCAATGGGAGCAGAGGAGTCGCCCTCTGCTGGTCACTACAGAGAAGTAGAGTCATTTCCTCATAGACGTCTATGGGAGCAGAGGAGTCGCCCTCCTGCTGGTCACTACAGAGAAGTACAGTTATTTCCTCATAGACGTCTATGAGAGCAGAGGAGTCGCGCCTCTGCTGGTCACTACAGAGAAGTAGAGTCATTTCCTCATAGACGTCTATGGGAGCAGAGGAGTCGCCCCCTGCTGGTCACTACAGAGAAGTAGAGTCATTGTCCTCATAGACGTCTATGGGAGCAGAGGAGTCGCCCCCTGCTGGTCACCTACAGAGAAGTTAGAGTCTATTTCCTCATAGACGTCTATGGGAGCAGAGGAAGTCGCCCCCTGACTGGTCAGACTGACAGAGAACGCAGGTTTGCTGCCTGCTTTTGACCAACATGAGTGATATCCTGCCCCCCCCCCCCCTGCAGGGTGTGCTTCCCCTGTGCAGATCAACCAGCTGCCCAGAGAGTCCCAGCTGACGGTGACTCTCTACGCCAGCTCTCTGCCGCCCCCCGGTGGAGCCGAGGAGAAGGGGCGTCAGCGGCGCAGCATCGAGGCGCTGGGATGGGTCACCATGCCGCTCTTCAACTTCAGACAGTGAGTCACATGACGCCCCGAGGCAGGAAGACATAAACCCCCCCGAATGTCACTTCCTGTCCTCCATCTGAATTTTACTCCCCATAATAGACAGTTTAAGTGTGTGTGTGTGTGTGTGTGTGTGTCCGCAGCGTCCTGACATGCGGCAGGAAGTTACTCGGCCTGTGGCCTTCGGCTCCGGGGGGGACCGGAAACGCACGGACGAGCTCGCCAAACTTCAGCCAGCCGGACAGCGTGATCCTGCAGGTGAGACGGGACGGGACAGGTTCGCGTGAGGAACCAGCCCCGTCCAGATGACTGTTTTACATCCTGAAGTTCATTAACAGCTGCAGCCTGCAGGCGTCAATCAATTAAAGAGGAGCAAAAACACACTGAATCCCATAAGTTGATAAACATAGATAAATGATGCACTGTTTATAGCATAGCTTTTAGAAATGCAGTGAATCACAAGGTGAAGCATCCTATCTGCTGTCTCACTTTCCTTTGCTCTCCTCACCCGTCTCACTCTCCTCACCCGTCTCCTGCTAAACAGGGTGAGAGGCTCATTCCACTGGGGAAAAAAACGCTTTGTCATCTAATTTAACCCAAAATAGAGACTGCAAACGCGCTCACACTGGTCTTTGTTTCAGTGCAGTCGACTGGTTCAGGATCTTCCTTTTGCCTGAACACACACACACACACACACACACACACACACACACGTTGCATAAAGGGACAGTTACCAATATTCCACATGATTTATGCTGCATTGTTTCCTCTGTGGCTCAACAGATATAATTCTTTAATGTGTTTTTTCTTTTTTGTGTGAATTGAATTCAACTCGAAATTCGTCATCGATCGGAATCATTTTACAAAAACAAAACATGGATTTTATTCATATTAGTGATTTTTAGAAACCTAAAAACACGTAAATATAAACATGATTTCATTTGGTCACAAGCCGTTAACCCGTCTCTCTCTGTCCTCCTGTCTGTCCCAGGTGGACTTCCCCACCTCGTCGTTCGAGGTCCGGTTCAGTACTCCGTCTCCGGCAGACTTCTGTCCTCAGTACGACTTCTCCAGACTGGATACCATCAGTCAGATCCAGCTGCAGGACGTCCTCCACAAGAAGGCCGTCTTCTGGTCAGACACGCAGCAGTGTTGTGTCGTGAGGGTTACTTCGGAAAAGAGACCTGAAGGTCCTCACGTGTCTCTGCCTGTGCAGGTTGACGGTGGAGGACAAGCGTCTTCTTTGGGAGAAGAAGGCCTTCTGTCAGTCCGAGAGTGCGGCGCTTCCTCTGGTGCTGGCCAGCGCCCCCTGCTGGGAGTGGTCCTGCCTGCCGGACATCTACGCCTTGCTGAACCAGTGGGCCTGCCTGGGTCACCAGGACGCCCTGGGACTCCTCCACGCCTCGTGCGTCCCACCCCCTCCTCCCCCGTCCCGTCTCACTGACGCGTCCTGAGTCATTGTGGTAACATCATGGTGTGTGTGTGTGTGTGTGTGTGTGTGTTCCAGGTTCCCGGACCAGGAGCTGAGGAGGACGGCTGTTCAGTGGATGGACTCCATCTCAGATCCAGAGCTACTGGACTTCCTCCCTCAGCTCGTCCAGGTCAGATGAACAGGAAATACTTTTATTGTGTCTAATAAGAGCAGTATAGAGATCAAAGTGCGTCTCACGAGTTTAACTGATGTTTTATGTTTTAGGCTCTGAAGTACGAGTGTTACCTCGACAGCTCTCTGGTCCGTTTCCTCCTACGGCGAGCCATCGGGGACATTCGCATCGCTCACTACCTCTTCTGGTCAGATGATCATTTTACTAGATCTATATTCCCTCTGAACACTCGTGTGTGTATAGTTGGGATCAGGTGACCCGGGTTCCCTTGAATGAAACCAGGTTTGACCCCGTGTGTCCCTCAGGCTGCTGAAGGACAACCTGCAGGACAGTCAGTTCAGCGCTCGCTACCAGCACCTTCTGGCCGCTCTGCTGTGCTGCGTCGGCCGAGGCCTCCGTGAGGAGTTCGACCGGCAGTGCTGGCTGGTGTCCGTCCTCGCCACCGTGGCCCACAAGGTCCGAGACGCCTCGCCGTCCAGCAGACAGGTGGGAGGACGGAACGTCTGCATTTGACGTTATCGCAAACATCTACGCCCCCGTTTCGATGAATATTTTCAAATGTTTTGTTCATCCAACAGTCAGAAACTAAGAGTTCACTGAGATATAAAGAAACAGCAAATTTTCTGAATGGAGAAACTGAAACCGGAGAATTTGCTGCACTTTTGCAGCCTAAAAAGTAATTTGCCCCAAATTATTTGCTAATTTAATTTTGTGTTTAATATCTATTAAACTATTTAATTCATCTTAAATACCCCCTCAATAAACATTGATTATATTATATAATCTCATATTATATAATTAATATAAAACATAAGTATATATTGTATAATGTTGTGCACACACAATGTCACTGATAAATCATTCATCAATAAATACATTTAATACATTGTGGGATTTTTGGGTCTTTTTCATGATCCAATTTCAATGTTGCAACAATGTGCTACAGCAAAGGGCAGCACCAACCAGAGGGGCCACAATGTCTGTTATTGTTATCACGTTGTTGTTATTATTTAAGTGTGTGTGTGCGTGTGTGTGTGCGTTGCAGTGCGTACTCAGGGAGGGTCTGGAGGAGATGAAGCAGTTCTTCTTAGTGAACAGCAGCTGCAGACTTCCTCTGAACCCGGCGCTGCTCGTCACGGGAATCAACATCCAGGTACTGAAAGGCACACAAACGATCACAGACACACACACACAGTCACACACACACACACACACAGTCACAGATTTAATAGAATATCAGAAACCGTTCCTCTGAGGAGGTGGTCTCAGGAGGAGGTCACTGAAGCCTAAAGGGTTCGTCTTCTGGGGAGCAGGAACATCATCCCTGTCTTTCTGAACCAAACGTGTATGACGGACAAGCGACTGGATTTAATGGTTTGAACCTCAAGTGTAGCGTCTGGTCTCAGTTCTCGTTCTCCGTCTTTCATAGTCGTGTTCCTTCTTCAACTCCAACGCTGTTCCCCTCAAACTGTCCTTCCAAAACCTGGACCCCAGGGGAGACAACATCAACGTCATCTTCAAGGTGAGTCGTCCCTCCCGCTCCTGCCCGCGCTTCGCGTCTCTGGAGCTGGATTCACTCTGGTTTGGCTGACGGGTTTCTGACCTCCGTGACCTTTGACCCCGGCTGATGTCTCTGTCCAGTCAGGAGACGACCTGCGGCAGGATATGCTCACTCTGCAGGTGATCCGGATTATGAACAAGATCTGGATCCAGGAGGGTCTGGACATGAGGATGGTCATCTTCAAATGCTTCTCCACCGGCAGAGGACGAGGTAGGGAGACGCCAGGTGTATGTCACAGGGGGACAGGTCTATATCAAAAGAAGACCGGTGTATGTCACAGGGGGACAGGTCTATATTAAAAGAAGACCGGTATATGTCACAAGGGGACAGGTCTATATCAAAAGAAGACCGGTGTATGTCACAGGGGGACAGGTCTATATCAAAAGAAGACCGGTGTATGTCACAGGGGGACAGGTCTATATCAAAAGAAGACCGGTGTATGTCACAAGGGGACAGGTCTATATCAAAAGAAGACCGGTGTATGTCACAGGGGGACAGGTCTATATCAAAAGAAGACCGGTGTATGTCACAGGGGGACAGGTCTATATCAAAAGAAGACCGGTGTATGTCACAGGGGGACAGGTCTATATCAAAAGAAGACCGGTGTATGTCACAAGGGGACAGGTCTATATCAAAAGAAGACCGGTGTATGTCACAGGGGGACAGGTCTATATCAAAAGAAGACCGGTGTATGTCACAAGGGGACAGGTCTATATCAAAAGAAGACCGGTGTATGTCACAGGGGGACAGGTCTATATTAAAAGAAGACCGGTGTATGTCACAGGGGGACAGGTCTATATCAAAAGAAGACCGGTGTATGTCACAGGGGGACAGGTCTATATCAAAAGAAGACCGGTGTATGTCACAAGGGGACAGGTCTATATCAAAAGAAGACCGGTGTATGTCACAAGGGGACAGGTCTATATCAAAAGAAGACCGGTGTATGTCACAGGGGGACAGGTCTATATCAAAAGAAGACCGGTGTATGTCACAAGAGGTGAGCTGTCGATTGACAGGTGTCTTGTCCCCAGGTATGACTGACCGGTGTCTTGTCCCCAGGTATGGTGGAGATGATTCCTCAGGCTGACACCCTGAGGAAGATCCAGGTGGAGCACGGAGTCACCGGGTCCTTCAAAGACCGGCCGCTGGCCGACTGGCTGCAGAAACACAACCCCACCGATGAGCAGTATGACAAGGTACACACACCTGGACACACACACCTGGACACACCAGGTGTCACTCCCTCAGGTGCGGATTGCTTACTGATTAAGTAATAATCACTCTGCGCTCAGGCGGTGGAGAACTTCATCTTCTCGTGTGCCGGCTGCTGCGTGGCCACCTACATCCTGGGAATCTGTGACCGCCACAACGACAACATCATGCTGAAGAAGAGCGGCCACATGTTCCACATCGACTTCGGAAAGTTCCTGGGACACGCCCAGATGTTTGGGAACATCAAAAGGTGAGTCGTGATGTCATGTTCATGTTCATGGGACGATCGGACACAGTCACAGTAGAAGGGTTATCTGTATTTACTGTTTACCTGCATGCCACCGCCTCTGTGTGTCACGTGACGCTCGCAGGGACCGCGCCCCCTTCGTGTTCACCTCCGACATGGCGTACGTCATCAACGGAGGAGACAAACCGTCGAGCCGCTTCCACGGCTTCGTGGACCTCTGCTGCGAGGCGTACAACCTGATCAGGAAGCACACGCACCTGTTCCTCAACCTGCTGGGCCTGGTGGGTGCACACGCACACGCACACGCACACGGGCACGTGGGAGGGGAGGGGTGGACAGAATAACAGAAACACCTCTCAGGACACACAGAACAGGTGTCCAGGAATCTTCAAACATAACAAGCACCCATCAACGATAATCATCATGTGGCGTCAATCGTGAAATAGGCGTTTCCATGGTTACGTGTAACGCTGTGCGTGTGCAGATGTTGTCCTGCGGGATCCCTGAACTGTCTGACCTGGATGATCTGAAGTACGTCTACGACGCGCTGAGACCTCACGAGTCGGAGGCCGACGCCACCATGTACTTCACAAGGTACACACACACACACACACACGCGATGGTGTGTCAGTGACTCAAACCATCTGTATACCATCTTATTCAGGAATATGCAAATGCTGTCAAACAAAACGTTAAGCTGAAGCTAAACTTAAACAATAAACGGCTACAAACACCTTCTGGAGTTTATTGTGTTTTGGTGGAACTTCGCTGGATCTTAATGGATGAACGAACAGAAGTGAGGATGATGATGATGGTGACGATGAGTCACCGCTGCCTTTAACCGTCCTCCCTCTACCTCTCAGGTTGATAGAGTCCAGTCTGGGCAGCGTTGCCACCAAACTCAACTTCTTCATCCACAATCTGGCCCAGATGAAGTTCGCCTCCAGCGAGGATCGACCTACGCTGTCCTTCGCTCCCAGGGTCCACACGGCGAAGAGCGACGGGCTCATCAGGAACCTCTACATCTGCAGACACATCAGGGCGGCCAGCACCGGGAAGGGATACGTGAGTGCCAGGACGGCTTATTACACACACATATATATATATATAACAGTACATGTATGATAACAAGTTTATAATAATGTGTGTGTGTGTGTGTGTGTGTGTGTCTCAGGCCTTCGTAGTGAAGGTGGAGCGAGAGGCTCAGCAGGAGACGCTGCTGGTTCAGAGAACGTTTGAAGAGTTCCATGAACTTCACACCAAACTGAGACTTATCTTCCCCTCATCCAAACTACCCAGGTACACACACACACACACACACACACACACAGTAAAAACTCAATAACTAAACCAAAGTCATGATTTGATTATTTTTCATTGTCTGTCTGCTCTCCTCGTCTCGCCCCACAGTTTCCCGAGCCGTCTTGTGATTGGTCGATCCCGTGGGGAGGCGATGGCCGACCGGAGGAAGGACGAGCTGAACGGTTACGTGTGGCACCTGATCCACGCCGCCCCCGAGGTCGCTCAGGTCGGTTGTTTTCTTCGTGAACAGAAGTAGGAGAGTGCAGAAAGAGGCTTGGTTATTTTAATGTGTGTGTGTATATGTTTATATTTAAATACACACACAGACAAATATATGTTCATATTTAAATATAAGAGGAAATTTTATACGTGTGTTTCTTTGTGTTGTTGCTGTTTCAGATCTCGTTCCTTCTGCTCACATCATCAGTCTTAGGTTTCATTTTCACTCAGTGGTTTCTGAGAAATGTTCTGTGTGTGTTGTGTGTGTGTGTGTGCATGGTATGTGTGTGTGTGTGTGTGTGCGCGTGGTGTGTGTGCGTGTGCTGTATCAGGTCTTTCCAGTTTTAGAAACTTGGCAGTGGAAGGAGTTTGTCTCTCTCTCGCACACTAAACATTTTAAGTTCACATACATTTGCATTAAATGTGTTGTGTCATTATCATAATTCAAATTATTTGATTACTATTCATTATCAATTTGTCGTGTTACTATAATAATTCTAGAATTTTTGCATTAAGTCTTGTTGTAGGAATTGTATTACATTTGCATTAAATCTCATCTTGTTATAATAATGAATTATATTTGTATTATTTTGGCATTGTCATTTATTACATTTGCATTAAGGCTATCGTGGTGTTGACCTTCAGTCAGAGCATGAAGACGCAGTCAACGCATATTCTAATGATGAAGTATAATCTGTGCGTTGCAGTGCGACCTCGTCTACACCTTCTTCCACCCGCTGCCCCGAGACGAGAGGCCGGGACCGGTGGCCGCCAAACCGGCAGGTACGCAAAGTCTATTCCTCCCAAAATGTACGTTAATTACATGAAGTTACATTCCAAATACAGATCAATAAACAAGCATTTGTGTGTGTGTGTGTGTGTGTGTGTGTGTGTGTGTGGCAGAGGTGTTGTGGTCTCCAGCTGCAGGCAAAGAGCTCGGCGAGGTCAAACTGTCGATCTCCTACAAGAACGACAAGCTCTTCATCATGGTGATGCACATACGAGGCCTGGTCAGTGTGTGTGTGTGTGTGTGTTCTAATTCATACTTGTTGCTAGGTAACCATTCTGCGGCATGACGCACAATTAAGGCTTCATTTTATCAACTAAAAATTATTTTATTTATTTTTTTATCACAATCAACAGTTTAAAGTGGTGTTTTCTTTCTCTGAAGCTTTGATGGCTGAATATTGTGTGTGTGTGTGTGTGTGTGTGTGTGCGCGCGCAGCAGCCCCCTGCAGGACGGCACAGACCCGGACCCCTACGTGAAGCTCTACCTCCTCCCGGACCCCGCAGAAAACCAGCAAGAGGAAGACAAAGGCGGCGCGACGCACCTGCAACCCGACCTACAATGAGATGGTAATCAGACAGGAAATGCACACATTTATTTTGGGTTAAATTGAATCAGGAACATTTATTGCCAAAATATGTTTGACAGGACAAAAACTGGAACAAGCGCTTCGATAGTACGACACTAACACTACTAGTGTTTGTTGGAGGTAAATTAATAATCAGTTTTAAGTTTATTTATTATTATTATTAATATCCCGACCCTCCAGCTGGTGTACGAGCGGATCCCTCGGGGGGACCTGGACCAGAGGGTGATCCACTTGCGGGTTCTTGGGGACGGGGCTTTCTGGGAGAACACCCTGCTGGGAGAGACCCTGATCCCGCTGAAGAGGCTGGTCCCGGGTCAGCACTGGGTGGACTGGCACCAACTGGGCGCCGCCGGCTCAGACTCCGCCCACTGACGGACAGGAAGCAGTGGAGTCCAAAGGGAGAGAAGAAGAGAACCAGTCCTTCTTTCGGGGGATGGAGGAAGAAGAAAAAAGGAAAGTCCTTTCAAAGTAAAAGCTGTGTGGCGGATCCTCCCTCTGTGTGAGAGGGAGTTTAAAGTTAAACCGTTTAACTTCACTAACATCATCAGTTTAGGATTTTTGGTTTGTTTTTGGGGAAAAAAGACAAAATCTGGACTTTTTAACTTTTAGTTTTTTCACTTACAGGACGCTTTAAACTTTCAGAATGTCTGCTGATGTGATTTCAAACAAATTGCACAATGAAGTCGTTAAAAACTGAAACTTACTTACTAGTTCTTATTTTAGCTTCAAATTAGATACAATTATGTGAACTGTAACTGCCAGCAGACGCCCGTTAGAATATTTGTTTAAGCGAAGACGCCTTCAGAACGTTACTGTCCAGAGAAACGTGCGTGTTCCGTATTTCAGTTGCAAAGTGCGTAGACCTTTGCATAACATCTCTGAATAGTCAGACGGCTAAATTAATCTATCTTTAAAGAGCAGTGATTTTAATTTCAATAAACTGATCGAACGGAAGGATGACGCCAATTTGTAAAAAGTTCGAGTTCGGCTCGATCGAGGCCTGGACGCCGGTGACGACGGAAGAATCGTCGGTCATTAATCAAGTGATTCATTTTGCTCTGAGTTTGAGAGGGGTTTTCATTTCCTTTTATTCACTGGTTTTGGTTTTGAAGTGGATGCGACATAAATGAGGTGAAATGATTTCTGTCAGTGAGAAAAGAAAAACACATGATGAGTTAAAGATGAATATAATCGCGATTAAAAGATTGTTTTTCGTACGTTTCAGTCGGCACAGGTGCATGTTGGGAGAATTGAGACGCCGTACTGTTCAGTTGGTTTACATTGCACAAAATTCGAACATACTTTAATACAGTTTGATTTCCATCTTTTGGCAAACAAGATGAAAAACTGAATCGCATCAGAAAAATAATTTTTGTTGAGTCATTTTGAATTCCATGTGCGATTTGTTCTGCAGCTTTTAGTGTCCTGAGGATAAACACCCTCCGCCCCCCTACTGGGCGTCTGTAGTAGAGCAGTTCAAGCTTCGTCTGTACATGCAGAGCTTCAGCCTCAATGTGGCCAGCGGGATATTCTTATATCGAGGATGATTTGATTTCTCTTGTTGGTGCATGCGAGACAGAGATCCGGTTGGCCTTCGTTTCCATGTTTCATTCCTTCATTTTGTTTTCAATCCTGTGATTTTCTACTGTGTTTGGTGGGAGGGGGACCTGCAGCAGACAAACCAGCACTTTTCCAAATGTCACACCTTGAATATCAGCATTCTGAGAGACACAATGTTGATTTTCGAGTTTACCTTCTTTATTTGACCTCTTACCTTCGTGACTCAGTTGAGTTAACTTCAACCACGCCCTTTTCTTTACTCTCACAAAGCGGTTTTATTGCCTAAACCTGACTTCCTGTGAAGGCAGAACTTTATTTTGAAAAGACGCTATGTATGTAACAGAGTTTATTTTGACACGCCGTCCCTGAGGTGCAGAAAAGTAGCATGAGTGTTTCTGTGTGAGGCTCAGGAGCACTGAACTAAGCAAAGATTTGGGAGACGATCTATAAATCATGAGTTCTACTTTTGACCCAAATGCTCTCCTGTAAATCTTCAAAAGGACCAAATTGGCACATTGTCTCAGTACTGATCCTATCCGGGTATATTCTGAGTGGCGACGATTAGACGACCCGATTAATTGGTCGATCGACAACTATTTTGATAATCGACAACTATTTTATAAAAAAATGCTGATTTCGCCTCTCAGATGAGGATTTTAAAGACTTCATACATTTGACATGTGAATAAATGATAAATATACATTAGGATCTGCAGATTTCATTATTGATCAAAAAGTATAATCTGTTAACCCAAGACCTATTTAGAGATTTGGTGATTAATTTTTTAACAAAAAAGTCCCAAGAAACAATATTCCTGTCAGAGAAAAGGAGTTTGTGTGAAGTGATTATCTTACATTTTGTTAGAGTTCAGTAGAGCTGAGAGGAGACGAGCAGTGAAGAAAACCGGAGCAGAATGTAAGTTCACAGTGAACTGGATCTTTAAGTACTGTACAGACTCCATGAAATGTGACGAGGTTTTCCACGGCAGCGCAGGCTTATTAATGTCTATTAATTTTATTCTAAACATGTTTTGTATTATTTGCACTACAAAATAAACTTGAATTGAACAAAACAAGTATTTTTGTTTCATTTTTAGCTAGGGTTCTTTCTTCCATCTTTTTACCTTCTCATTTCCCCCCTTTTCACTATTTTCTTTAAAACTTTTTTGTTGTGAGATCCTCGCTCCACCTTCTTCTTCCTCATCCTACTTTGTTTGTTCTCCCCATCGTTTCTCCTCTACTGCATTTCTTCCTTCCTTATTCCTCCTCCCTACCACCTCTTCCTGCTTCCTTCGTTGTCCCTTCTTCCTCGACCATCCTGGTCCTTCCGCCCTGTACACCTTCGTCTCCCTACCAATACTGCAGTATTTTTACATTGCAGCCGGCCCAGACGCATTGTGCTGTTCAGCTGTCTCCGGTGTTTACCAACATCTTAAACACCTCACTGGAAACCTGCCATGTGCCAGCCTGTTTCAAGGCCTCCACCACCCAAGAAAAGACCCATTCCCTGAGAAGGGAACCCCTAATTGCTCCCCGGTCAAAAATGTACAATGGGTTACAGATGTAATGTAAGTCACTTTGGATAAAAAGTGTCAGCTAAATGACCTGTAATGTAAAAAGGCAAAAATGGCATACAAACTGATATCTTTAATTTCCCAACCTCTACTTCCTCAGATGGCAGGTTAGTTAATGTGTGACGTATTTTCAGTGCTAGTAGAAGAGCTGCAGTACAGATAAGGTCCCATCTGTGTGGGAGGCTCTCAGCTGATAAACACGTGGCAGCACTGAAGACCTTTGACTATCTTTGTTGCGTAACCAGCAGCAGCTCACAGAGTCACGCACACAATCTGGTAACACCGCGACGCCCCCTGGCCTCTCGCGATAAAAAAGAGGACGAGAATTTGTGGACGGTCCCTTAAGTTTCTGATGAAATCTCTCCCCGGAGCAAGAAGACGGACTCACCGACACACGGAAGCGAGGCAAAGATTATACTTGTAATTCGGGAAAGGCCTGGAGGTTATAAACCACGGATAGATATTTTTTGAAACAGTTAAACCCGGAGAACGAAGCCAAGAGATTGTTTCTTTCCTAATAGAGTATTTCAAATTAGACGATACTCCTGTTAAAGCTAACTGCGAAGCTAGCTAGCTTCTCCCGTTAAGCTACCCTGCTAGCATCCGCCGTTGGAATCCGCAGACCTCAAGCCGCCCGTTGCCTTCTCTACGGATATATAAAGCCGACTCTAAAAGGAACATGGCTCGTCTTACTTCGTCACATCGGGGCTCGTCCGCCTTGTTTTTTGTCCCCGTCTTCGCGAAGTTCTCCACCAGAAAGAAGTCCAACCACCGCTCTCAGAAGAGCGTCAACGCCGCGGAGCGCGCCGGTCGCACGGACGTCATTCCCTGGGTTCCCGCTTGCTGCGGCGGTCGGTACGTGTGCCAGCACGTGTAACGACGACATCCACGTCAAACTATTGTCACTAAACGTGTGTCGTACATAGATGTCCAGAGCTCCCGTTGACCCGGCTGGAGCCGCTGCAGCCTTCGACAGTTTGACAGCTGTCACGTTCGCCGCCGAGCTGCCGTTTGTGATCAGTTTTCTCAGGTCGCATAGTTTATATTTTTGCACTTTTAAACTTGAAGAAAAACATGTTAAGAAATTTTAACGGTGAGGGACATTTGTCTGGCGGACACAGCTCGTCCTTCCCCGCCGGACGTGGACTCGCCTCTCCCGGGCTTGACACTCAGGAAAGCTCGTGGCTCGGCCTACTGTCAAGGCCCGCAATGGCATTTCTGCAACGATGTCTCCCGGGCCGACCGCAAACCCCCGTCAGGGCGGAAACGGGAGCCGGGTGGCTCAGTGGGGGTTTAAAGAACAACTTAATCGATGATGATGAACGCGAGTTGTTGAGACAGCTGGACGACATGATGCCGCTCACACAGCACGCCGCCCCTCACCTGACCCACCTGCGGCATCAGCACGACCGGGCCGCCGGCCGCCTGGAGCCTTGGGGCGGCGGCACTTTAACGTGGTTTACCGCTGATTCGCTGCTGGAAATGGGAATTCAAACCTCGGAGGAAATTGACTTAAATTACTGCCCGCAAGCCCACATTGGATATTTTTCTTCTAATGCTTTTCTCAGTCATGATCTGTTGAGCTTGGTGTCATCTCAGGAAACTGGTCCCCGAGGAGGGAAGGACTGGGAGCCGGCGGGTCATCTGGCAAAGATCTGCAGGGGTAAAAGCAGGACGTGGTGGGGCAGCTTCTGGGACGGTGAGGAGAGCTTCCGTAAAGGGCTGCCGTCAGATGTCTCCAGGGCCGGGGAGGTCCCCATCACAGGCTGTCCTTGTCCACAACAACCAGCGGTGGAAACAAAAGCAAACGAAACAACAGGTCTGTTTGTCCAGTGCGGTGGCCGGGGATGGACGCCGGGAGAAAACACTGGACTGACTGACGTCAAAGAGGAGCTGTCACACAACGGAGGCCTTCCAACGGTCCAGAACACGGAGCGGTCCGCCACGGACCGCCTCCCCAAAATCGGTAACCACCTGAGCAGTTCAGGAGCTGCCGCCGCCTGCAGTGAGGTGGCACTTCTGACCCCTGATCGGGACAATGGTTACTCCGCTCTGGAGCAGGAGCTCTTCCTGGTGGGCATGAAAGTTCAGAGTGAAGCGCGGTCGCAGCAGGAGGTCGATTCAGTTAAAAATGGCACCCCCGGCGAGACAGAGATGGAGGAAGGGACCTCTGAGGAGGGAGAGGAAAAGTCCGTGGAGCCAATAGCGCTCACCCATCCGCAGTGCCAAAATAAAGCCATCGCCTTCATCATGGGATGCCCCTGCAGTGACGACAGTAGCCAATCAGACGGGACCTCCAGTGATGACGATGACTACGATGATGATGCTGGCTTTAAAAGCGACGGCTCGTCTGATCAGTCAGACTCAACGGACGACGAAGATGATGATGAAGAAGAGGACGATGAAGCCTCAGACAGCGACGCCGACACTGAGGCGAAACGCATGTGGAGCTCCCTTTGCAAAAGTGTTGATCCCTACAACCCCCGAAACTTCACCGCCCAGCAGCACACCGTCACCTCCCCACCCAGGCCCATCCCCACGCCTCCGTCTTCCGCTCTGTCCACCCCGGGGTCCTCCCCCGAAGTCACCCCGCTGCCTCTCACCTCGTCCTCCCCTCCGTCCGGCAGCGACACCTGGGACGACTCCACCTCAGCCAGCGAAGTGGACGAAGCGGAAAGCCTCCGCCTGTTTAGCTCCTTCGGCTGCTCCTCGGACCCTTACAGCCCCTTAAACTTCCAGGCAACGTTCAGGAGCCAAGGGTCCGTAGAGGAGGCGGGGCCCCGGGCCAGGCCGAAGAAGGCCTCCCAGACTCCCTCCTGCTCCTTCCGCCCGAACCCGGCGGCTCCTCCTGAGTACAGGAAGGAGGAGGCGGAGGAGAGGCTGGACAGTGGCTTCTCTGAGCTCTCCACCACGCAGAGCTGCAGCACGACCAAAAAGGTCAGTTTGTTCTCTACCAGAAAGTCATTCGCTCCCAAGATGATACCTTTCCAGTATATCTGATTTCTAATATTCAGAATCCGATGGTAATGGTGTCCGTCTTCATGTTTTTCCAAACCCAAAGAGATTCTGCCTGAAACTACATCTGAGTAATTGAGGAAACATGACACCAGACAATATTTTATTCATGATTTTAAAATCTGAATTGATTTTCAGATTAGTTGCAGATTCATTTATTTTAAAAGGCCTGAGATGCAGAAACTGAGAAAATGAAAATGCTAAGAATCATCCAGCTCACGTTGATGCGGTTTCTTGAGTATTTCTGCTTCCTGGTTTCATTTTACTGCAGTGACTCATGTGATTAAACCTGAAACACACTGGACAGTTTAGTCATCTTGACTTCGGACAAAGTGCTTGTTGATGGATGATAATGTTTGATAGTCCCACTGATTTTAGTTGAGACAAAGTGAGTAAAGAAGTGGAGGCACCAGTTCGTACATAATGAACGTGGTCAGTTTAAGAATATCGATCATTTATCTAATTACTATCCTGGTCCCACAAGACGTTTCCATAGATGAGTATGTTTGGAGCATCGCATCAGAAAAGCTGTTCGTAAAGGGAAGAAATTCAGGAACGCTTCAATTGGCTAAAGTTGTAATGCTCATCTTTAAACTAGTTAGTCGTGTTAAAGGTGGAGCTGATTAATCCACTCACATCATTTAAAGTAATGCATCATTTTCTAGGTATTTTGTATTAATCTAAATCAGCAAAATAAGTTGTTTTCAAATAAATGTCCAAAATGCAGTGTTTTAATGAAGTGCTAGTATTCTCGCGTAAATATACTTACGTTACGTTAAACCGTGGTTCAGTGGGAAACGTAAGGTTTAAAAATGTTTTTTGAATGTTCAGATTGAGTCAAGTCAGTTTAATTTCTTCTATATATCAATAAAAAACCTGGATGTTCATGACTTTAAATAATTGAAGATCACGTGTTCAGAAACAGACCTTTTTTTATTATACGTAACATTAAGTAAAATAGATCAAATAAACTGGTAACTATCACACTTAAATAGCTTGGATAATATTCTTTACTTTGATTAGTCTAAAAGAATCCTGGTTCTATATTTTATTATTTATATATGCATATCATATATTTTGCTATTTGGATAAGCCTTTATTTCATCCTTGTTAAATCTAGAAAAACTAAAATCTGCATATTCAACATTTAAATAATGCCTTATTTTTATTGTTAAAGTCCAGCTCTTACACTCTAAACCCTGATATAGTGTGTGTGTGTGTGTGTGTGTCGACATGCAGATTTCACTTTCACCACCTTCTTTGTTTCAGGTTCGTTTCTGTGACGATGTGGAGGAGTTCTTTGCCAGCTGTGGGGAGGAGGGCGAGGTGGAGGACCGGCGGGGCCCCTGGGAGGAGCTGGCCCGGGACCGCTGCAGATTCCTGCGGCGCTGCCAGGAAGTGGAGCAGAGCATCGACTACTGCCTGCAGCCACAGCACCGCACCCTGGTGTACCACCGCCTAGTCACTGTGCTCTACACCCAGGACGCCTGAGCACCCTCAAGCTGTCCTCAGCCCTCCATGCCAGAGGACAACTACTCCGATCTGTCCTGGATGCACGGGGGTCGATCCGCTCTCTACTTCCTGGAAGCACGGGGGTCGATCCGCTCTCTACTTCCTGGAAGCACGGGGGGTCGATCCGCTCTCTACTTCCTGGAAGCACGGGGGGTTGATCCGCTCTCTACTTCCTGGAAGCACGGGGGGTTGATCTGCTCTCTACTTCCTGGAAGCACGGGGGGGCGATCCGCTCTCTACTTCCTGGAAGCACGGGGGGGCGATCCGCTCTCTACTTCCTGGAAGCACGGGGGGGCGATCCGCTCTCTACTTCCTGGAAGCACGGGGGGGCGATCCGCTCTCTACTTCCTGGAAGCACGGGGGGGCGATCCGCTCTCTACTTCCTGGAAGCACGGCGGTCGATCCGCTCTCTACTTCCCGGAAGCACGGGGGGGCGATCCGCTCTCTACTTTCCGGAAGCACGGGGGGGCGATCCGCTCTCTACTTCCCGGAAGCACGGGGGGGGCGATCCGCTCTCTACTTCCCGGAAGCACGGGGGGTCGATCCGCTCTCTACTTCCCGGAAGCACGGGGGGGCGATCCGCTCTCGACTTCCTGGAAGCACGGGGGGTCGATCCGCTCTCGACTTCCCGGAGGGTCGATCTGGACGCCTAAAGGTGACCTTGTAGGTCAACATTGGTGATACAGACGAAATGAAAAGCGCCCGTTGTTGAGCATTGAGACACTACGGAGACACAGCATGTGGACAGACTGAGAGCTGCTGACTCTTTACTGATTGACTTCTCTTCTCTGTTCGATTTTGCAGCTTCGTCTCTCTGGACTGACACGCTTCATGACCGACTGCGTTGGTGAAATACTGGCTGGTGATGTGACGGGTTTCTGTGTTCTGATTGGACAGCGTTGCCTCGTTTTATTTATTTAGAGGAGAGACTTGTTTATGATCAGACAGTTTACAGTTTCAGTTTAAATCACAGACACAGAAACAAGCAGCTGTTTTTATTAAAACACTCAAAGTTCAAAATCTAAAAATGAAACCATCTTTGTTTTATAATTTATTTCACTAATTTGAATTTATTGAAATTTGAAAATTTTCTTTTTAGCAATGGTGACTCGATGTTTACAAGCTCTAATCTCTTTACCTCAACAGAAGAATACCTGCAGATGTTCAGGGTTTAAATAACCCAACATCAGACCCGTCTCAACCCACTAATTCATTATAATGATTTCTGCTCCGCCTAAAAACGCAGCTAAATAATTGTATTCGTATTGACCATTGCAGCGGCTTCATTCTGTGACTCGGAGGTCTTCACAGAATAACTGGATGGAACCGGACTGAGGAGCCTTCAGCGACTCTCTTGAGCTTCTAGTTTTCTTTTTAAAACCAAAGATTTCAAGCTTGTGTGAGGTGACGGTTTGAGGTGTTGGAATCTGATCCATTTTTGCATGAATCTCTGCCATTAACTTATAAAATGCTCCCCTACCTGCTCTCGCACTGATAATCGTTAAGTAGTATAATCTCTAATCAGTATATTGATCGTATTATTGCACCCGATCCATTTGAATTCAAAGCTGAGACCAGACGTCTGCAGCAGTATTGACTTATGTCTCTAATTTGTTACATTTTAGTTCAGTGACGTCGTTCCTCCACAGATTAAATATTTATAGAGGCGGGAAAATGGTTCTTTTTGATTAATCAATTCATTGTTCTATAAAATGTACCGCCGTAGTTTCACAGTTTGACTCTTTTCAGATATTTAGTTCCCCCCCAAAAAAGAAGCCAAATTTCTCATTTCCGAAGAGATGTTTTACTTGATAGATCACATTATTATTATTATTGTGGTCATTGTTAATAATCAAATTATTTTGTATACACAGGAAACTCATGTTCATAACATACTAAAGAGCTTATTCAGGTCTGATCTAAAACTCAACTGTTCGTATGAACGTTTGAGTTGAACTAAGAACTGGCAGCCATAAGAAATAAATATTCCTCTTAATAGGCATTCAAATTGAAACGCGTCGGAAAGAAAGACGTTCTGCAACATGTACCCAGCGGTATTTTGATGAATTGAATATTCATGTTCTACATCACATTGTTTTTTCTGGGCTTGATTTTCTTGCAGTGTTACCATTTTAAACTCGACCTTCCCTATTATCACAGCCGCATTGAAAGTTGTCTAAATGCTTTTATTGTGAAGCTGCATCGGTAGGAAATATTTTATTTTGTCAATACGTTCCCTCCTCCAGCAACAGATACAGCTGTTTTATTAACATTTAATTGTCTGAGATTGTGGCCTGAAACTTAAACATTTTATTTTCACGGGACCTCAGAGTCACTTTGCGTCATCCAACAACTCGTCGCTGACTTAATGTTTTTGGGATTATTCAAGCAGAGTCAGAGTTAAATAGTCTGTCCAAGTGTCTGCATGCTGCACTAATCGATAGTCTGCACACAGGAAGCGTGTGCACGAGGACCGCCATCCACTGGTGCGGGTTTGGTGTCTTCTGTCAGCTAGTATTCAATAATCAGAAGGGAACGCCTCGTTTCTAAATGGACTTTTATAGCAGCAGGTTGGAAACGACGGGATGAATGTTTGGGATTATTTCAGTCAGAAAAAGGTTTTATTTTTCTAATGCTTTTGTTTTGGTGGGTAACTCATTCTGCAGCATTTCCTCACAAATAATATGACCCATTGAATATTAAATCAACATTTAATGATCACACACTGGCTCCTTTTGCCTTTTTTCTCCTCCTACATTTTGCCCGAAAGGGTTTTGAATGTAAATAATGTGTGTGTGTTCCAGGCCGAGGGGGGAGGCTGTATCTAGTCCAGCAGGTGGCGCTGGTCCCTGAGGTTTACTGCGTGAAGGTAACAAACACACCTTTATGGACCGAACAGAAAGGGAGGCTCATTGGGGATCTCCTGAGGATAAACCGGAGCAGCTTTGGTGTCACAACGGGGAGACCGACTCCCAACACGTGCTGCGGGTCATCAGAGAGAAACGGGATGATTCCACTTTGACTCCCAAAATAAATCCGTGGCTTTAAAGTGAAAATTGAAAGAAGAATTCACGATCCCACGACCGTTACCGTCGCCATTCGTCTGGTGTCCTCTAGGGGCGCTGGTGCTTCAATATGGAGCACTTTATAATCCCTAATCCCCATAAACAGATAAATCTTTTTTTATTTTTTTATTCATGTAAATCCAACTTCATCATGTAAAGAAACTGGCTTCAAAACCGGTTTAAATTCTTAAAGAGTAACATTTGGTTGGACATTCTTTACATTTTCAGAGTCACTTCCTGGAATAGGTGCATGATGTCGTTGCAGAGGGAATTCTGCTGA